TATCCTAGTCTCTTCAGTTTCTCTCTCACAGAGAAAAATTACACCACCAATGCGAGCAGCAGCGAATTCCCAAGAATCTTTTGGACAGAAAGGTGTAGCAGCAATCCTCGTCAGTAGCCCACGCCAACAGACAAAGTCAGCCTCATGGAGAACCTAAACCTCAGAGATTTTCTGATAAAAAATACTACAGTAGGCTAATGCTTTTAGGCAAAATGATACCACAATATTCTAGGACTTATACCTTTTTTAGTGGGCCACCTCGAGGAGCTTGAGAAACAACCCAATCTAGCAAAACATCAAGCCTTTCGTCGCCCTCCTGCAAGTACCGAAATTTCGAAATTTCTGCAAGCGTTTGGTCCAGGAATATTACTTTTTCCTCAAATGTATCAAATCCCTGATTCAGATCGAATCTCACTCTTCCTCCATCAGCCAATGCAAGTTCATACAAATATTTTGCGTCTTCTCTGCCTGGCACCAGTTGTCGATCTCGTGTCACCTGATATTTATGGAAGTAAATCATTTTTAAGAAAAATTCTGCAAGTTTCAACGTACAGTATACTCGCCAAGTCTTTGCGGTTGACCGAATCTTGGGAATGGGAGATCATTTGCTCTAGCTTCAACTGAGATTGTCAGCACACTTTGATCCATATCGGATGACATAAGCTGAGAAAGTAGAAAATGATAATTTAGTCACACTTTCATCTTCCACAATTCGAAAACCTAGGGCAAAAGCAGCGAAAATATATTCTTTCTTCTAATGATTTATGGAGTTGAGTCGTTTGTGCCCTATCTCATTGGCAGTGACACCGCCTTGCGCGGGTCGATTTTCACGCGACTGCCTCGCTTGGGCTCTGCATCTCTTCGTGGACATACTCTCCGATCCCCCTCCCCTCGCAAGAATTGGTCGAGTTTCTCAGGAGTTCCCTGCATGAGCTATGAAAATTGTATATAAAGAACTGTTAAATTTTTTTTTACTCGCAACGATTTGTTTTTCAAGTTTCTTGAAAGTTCAAATAAAGTTGTAAAAACTGTTCTAACAATAAGATCGCTACTGA